CCAGTGCTCCGTTCTGCCTGCCTGCCTGCCTTCGTTAATGGTTGAATCGGAACAGCTTCGGCTGAGTAAAAGAGGCGAATAGTTATTATTCTCAGCCGAAGCTGCTCCCAAACAACCAGAAACTAAGGCAGGCAGGCAGAACGGGACACTGTGGATTGAAGCGCGCGTGGGCGGGGTGGGAGTGGGGGTGAAACGGGCGCTTCGGAATAGCTGCGGCGACAGGAAAAGCCCCCCCCCGCTTCTTTGAAGCAGTTTCTTCCTTGGATGGTGGAGCAGCGAGAGAGCGAAGCCTCCTTCTCTTCTCTCCCCCCCGCCCGGTCCTTGCAAAAATTTTCTGCTTGAAACCGGTCCCTGGTACAAAAAAGGTTGGGGACCACTGATCTAAGGATTCAGGTGTAGTTTCAAAGGGGGGAATGAAGCAGAATGGAAAATTACCAGAAAAGTATTCTTATAATTAGCAGAAGTTTCTTAGCAAATATTATGGAAGTTGCTTAATACAATATTGTGTAAACCACAAAATTACTAAACCAAAGAACTAGACACGTTCCTGTAAACAAGGGTGGGTATGGAAAATAACTGAGGGTGTAAGATAAGTACGTATATGCTGAAGTGTGTAAAATGACTAATTAGATTTACTTCTCCTTTCTATAGTACATATGATATGGTATAGCTTGATAAGAGAAATGTCCCGGGCTAGGCTGAGGCTGTGAGCTGTATAAAAGTAACACCTCAGGAAGAGCCGGGGGTCCTAATGCTCTGAACCTTTTGCGCAAATAAACCTGTATTCTCCTACCCTTCATGGTCTCGTGTCCTGATTTGGAAACAGGGTCTGCTGCAACAAAATGAGGACCCAAATTGTTGGGGACAATATGCTGACTCTATAAATTGCTTAGAGAGGGCTGTAAAGCACTGTAAACAGGTGTATAAGTCTATTGCTATTGCAATCTAAATGGTGAAAGGTCCAGACCTGGCGGTGTTGACTCCCCACATTTCCCTAATTTTGGAAGGAATCAAGCAGTGGATCTACTACACCCATGTGGAGAAAGTCAGGCCAGAAAAAAGAGAAGAGCTCCAGTGAGCTCTTCGCTGGGAGAAAGTGACAGAAGAGAATGAACTATTGGATTTTTCAGTCTGACAATTGCCAATTCATTGAAACCCACCTTGGAAAACATAGGGAAGGAATTTCTTAACATCAAAATAGGTTAGCGCCTAGACTAGGGATGACCAAACCTGGCAATTTTAAGGCTTGTGGACTTCAACCCCCAGAATTCCTCTGGCACACATGCCGGCTGGGGAATTCTGGGAGTTGAAGCCTACAAGTCTGAAAGTTGTCAATTTTGGAGACCCCTGGCCTCGACTTATGGAATTATGACGTGGTTTCTTTTAGTGCCTTCCTCTTGTAAAGTTTTTTTTATATCCAACACACTGGAAATGGGGAAGAATTATGGTGAATAGTTCCTTGCTTTTCACAAAAAGGATTACAAGCATTGTGAAATACCAGAATCTTCACAATAAAATCTCAAAAGGGGAAAGATGGCGAAGAGGCCTAAGATTCCTTGGAGAAGGCTCAGGTTTCCCAGGGAACAAGGCCGGATGCACAGTATGCCCTCTGGCAATTGGCGGGCCAGACTCTCATCAGGGGTGGTGAATCTTGCTCCTTTTTTGACTTGTGGACTTCAACTGCCAGAATTCCTGAATCAGCTATGCCGGCTCTGGAATTCTGGAAATTGGAAGTCCACAAACTATAAACGGGCCAAGGTTCCCCACCCCAGGTCTAAATAGAAGGATCCCTGGAGATTCAATTAACAGGTTACATTTAGAATAAAGGTGTAAAGGCTTCAGCTTACTGAACCAGAGGCCCAAATGTACTATGGGAGAAGGCAAAAGGCACAAATGGGAGAGATTTGAACACCTCGAAAAAGGAGAAGTATGTTGTAAATTGGAAGAATCAAGGAAAGCTATGCTATGTTACTGCCAAAGCGACATTTACAAACATGTTGAGGTTTCTCTGTGCACACATTAGGACAGATTAAAAATAGCTTGGCTGAGCTCTGTGTTACATATACAGGTATGCAGGAAGGCAAAGATGTTAGTGTAAAACAGTCAGGAATTGCTGTAAAGGGAGAAGAGGAAATTCCTCATGACTCTGACTTGTAAACTCTGTGGCAAATGCCATTTAACGCCCTCCAGTGGTCATTGGTGAGGTAAAAAAGCTTTGAGGGACATTTCCTTGTGTTACTTTTTCTGTGGAATAAAGTTTTTGCTTACAATCTTCTCTTCAATGGGTTCAATTTGAGACATTGGCATATCTGGCAAAGTGCCTGGAGCAGGAAAGGTGAGGAAAACCAAAAGTGCCTTTGAGTTCAGAAGATCTTTTTCCTTCTTTCAGCCCCTCTGGAAGTGCAATTTTTGAGGGGGAAATGGGGAATAAGCCAGGAACCCCCCTCTGTAAACTGGAAGCAGGCTTGGAAAATGCCTTTCTTCTGAGGATTTGATTTTCCTGCTGGGAGAGCTCCGGTGCAAGGATACAGACAACTGCTTGAAAGCTGGATCTTTTTATTTTCAGGCAGGCAAGAGATAGCAAGAAGTCTGCGTTCCTGGGGCTAGCTAGCTTTGTATGATAGGCCCCTGATTTTTATACTTTTTTTCTCCTTTTGTGTGTGAGTGCTTGTGTTTGTTTTTCTTAATGTTTTAAATCCTGTCAGGGGTTGTCTTCATTTCCGCCGGAGGGTAAACTCCGCGGGGTGGTTTGATTGGATTATCAGTTTCGTCCTAATGTTTTCTTATATTTGTTTTGTGGCAATCTCCTGTCTGTCTCCTTTGCAATATATTTTGTGTCTTTTGTCTGTTTGTTTTGCTGATTTGGCATGTCTTGTGTTTGTAAGGGTTTTCTTTTCTTGTTTCCCTAGTTTTCTTAATTATTTGGGCTTTCGTCTAAGGGGCTTCTTTAATACCTTTTATTTGATTTCTTTTCCTATGCAAGTTTGTTTTATGGCTGGCTTGATGTTCCCTTTGGGCTTTTCCTGCTTGGGTGACACCACTGTCCTCGTGAAGTTCCCTTTCCACAGGTCATAAATGCAATTCAGTTCCCAGGTGAAGGAAAAATATAATAAGTTACTCTTTTATAATAGTGTTTTATGTGTTGTTAAGCTAGAACATTCCTCTTACTCCTTTTGTTACACCCTACCCTAACCCCCACCCTAACCCCCAAAGTGTATTCAGTTAAAAGTATGTGATATCTTGTCACAATTTTCTTGGAAAACAGGAACATCCACCCAGGACCAGATAACAAGTAAATAAGATAAGGGATATCCTCCCAAGGTGAACCTCAGAAGTAAAACAAGATAAGGTATCCAATGCATAGAAAACAATCTCATGTTGACCCTTTAGTTTATAGTTTAGCTCATCGTATAGTTTCAGATAATAAGGGGGAGTTGGGAGAGCTTCTTAGGCGTGGTGTGCATTGTGCAGGGGGTATAAATGTATTAGTTTGAAAATAGGATTTTGCTCTCCTTGTACTCAATCCACTTGGGAAGGGTCTTGGAGGCCACGCTTGCAACCGCTTTCTTTTATTTGGTTCAATAAACGCTTGAAATTGTGAACCAGACTTGTCTTCGTATTGTGAGTATAAATTTATTGGGGGGTCTTACATCTCACACAGGCATCTTAGAAACAAGTAATAACTAGCAGTCCCCACGGGTTTGTTAAAAACAAATCATGCCAAACCAATCTTATTTCATTCTTCAACATAGTGACTAAACTAGTTGACCAGCGAAATACCATGGACATAATATAGATTTCAGCAAGGCATTCCACAAAGTAGACCACAACCTACTTCTTAGCTAGAAAAAAGTGGAATAGATAGCACCACCACTAGATGGACTCGCAATTGGATGACAAACCGTACTCAACAAGTAGTCCTTAATGGGTCTAAGTCTACATGGAGGGAAGTAAGCCGTGGGGTGCCACAAGGTTCTGTCTTAGGCCCAGTATTCTTCAATATCTTCATTAACGACTTAGATGAGGGGATAGAAGGGGAACTTACCAAATTTGCAGATGATACTAAGCTGGGAGGAATAGCTAACACCCAAGAAGATAGGCTCAAGATCCAGATGGATCTTGACAGACTAGAACACTGGGCCGTATCTAACAAAATTAAATTTAACGTAGAGAAAAGTAAAGTCATACACTTAGGCAAGAAAAACCAAAAGTACACATATAAACTGGGTGAAACCAGGCTCAATAGCAGTAACTGTGAGAGGGATCTTGGAGTCTTAGTGGACAACCAGCTAAATATGAGCCAGCAGTTTGCAGCAGCCATCAAAAAAGCTAATGCAACCCTACTGCATCCAGTTTTGGACACCACATTATAAAAAAAGATGTTGAGGCTCTAGAAAAAGTACAGAGAAGAGCAACCAGGATGATTAGGGGACTGGAGACTAAAACATGAAGAATGGTTACAGAAACTGGGCCTGGCCTGTTGAGGGAAGAGAAGGACCAGGGGAGACATGATAGCAGTCTCCCAATATTTGAGGGGCTGCCACGGAGCTATTTTCTAAAGCGCCTGTAGGCTAGACAAGGAATAATGGATGGAAACTGAACAAGGAGAGATTTAACTTAGAAATAAGGAGAAACGTTCTGACAGTGAGAACAATCAACCAAGGGAACCGCTTGACCTTGGAAGCGCCATCAGTTGAGGCTTTCAAGAAGGGATTGGGCTGCCAACTGTCAGAAATGGTGTAGGGTCTCTTGCTTGGGGTGTGTGGACTAGATGACCTACAAGATCCTTTCCAACTCTGCTTATCTGTTAAAGAGCTATTACCTCCTAAGTTTGGCGCTCCGCATCCCTTTCCTTCCCCTCCTCCCCTCCCTGGGCTCTGTCCCCTCCCTCTCTCCCGTTTCTCTGATTGCCTGGGGAGAAGCAGCCCGGGACTCCCTGCCCAGCTGACGCTCCCATCCGGGACCGATTCCCCCGGGGCAGAAGGAAGGGGGCAGCCCTGCGGAGAATGGGAGGAGCTATAAGCGCTTCCGGCTTGGGCTCTGCAAATTTCTGACTGGGGTCGTTCCGTGGTGGGGGATCCGCGTGCGTTGGCCGGGAAGGAAGGAAGCGTGTCCAGCGGCGATCACGGATCCTTTCCTGCCCGCATCTCTAGGGGACCGGAGGCGAGGCGAGAAAGAGAGCCGCCTCATTCTTATTGAGAGCCAGGTAAAAAGCTGCTTCTTCCTTCCCTCCTTCCTTCATTCCTCCCTCCCTTTTCCTTCCTTCTTTCCTGGGAAATGCTGGGACAGGAGACCCTTCAAGGCAGCTTCTTGGGGCGCTGTTAAGATCGCTGCTGCCGTCCCCACTTCTTTCTTTCTTTGTCTTTCTTTCTTTCTTTCCTTCTTTCTTTCCTTCCTTCTTTCCTTCCTTCCTTCCCGCCCTCTCTTCCTTCCTGGGAAATGCCGGGACAGATGAGCCTTCCAGGCAGCTTCTTGGGGCGCTGCTAAGATCGCTACTGCCGTCCCCACTTTCTCCTGGGGGAGATGATTCTTATTCTCCTTTCTTTTCTGCCGGCCCTTCCTGACCGTTTCCCGTCGCTTCCTTTGCTCTGGGGCCGTTTCACATCCAGGAGGCTCGGAGTTGAAGGGCTGCGAAACCGGCGGGGAGAAAAGGGGGCGATCCCTCCCTGGAGCTGCTGTTTCGGGGAGCTGCTCAAGACGAGCCCCCTCCGGAGAGAGCATCGGCTCAAGGCTCCTCCGGACGCCCTTCCATCTCTTCGCCCGCCTTTCTTTCCTCCCGGAATTCGCTTCCATCGTCCAATTGAACTGAATTTGGGGTGCATTTAAAGAGGCGTCGCACTTTCCTGTGGGCCATAGTTTCTCAACCTGGGCAACCTTGTGATTTTTGGCTTTAACTCCCAGAATTTCCCACGTGTGTTGAAATCCACATATCTTAACAGCTCCCAAGATGTAACCCAGGGGTGCGGAAGTTACGGACCTTTCAGGTATTCTGGGAGTTGAAGTCCAGCCGTCAAAAAAGGCCAGTAGTTCCTCACTTCAAGTCCCAGCTGTAAAAGAAGAGTTTTTGTAGTCTTCCTTGATTGTCTCATAAGGGAAGGTGAACATTATAGCAACGTAGAATAACAGAGTTGGTGATTTAATGCACACATTCATGGCTGAGATAATCTGCCTCTGAATCCAGTCCCTGGTCCTTCCACACCTTTCCGTTTTCCTCTCACCCAGAATGAGCTTCTGTGTGTTGTTGCTGTGGCTGCAAAGGACTCACATAAAGGGGTTCCCTAGTTAATCTAGAAATAGGCTAAAATCAGCCTTTTGCACTGGATGTTCAAGAATGTTCTTAAGATGTTTGATAGCCAATTATTCCTTTGCTGTTTTTTCCCCCACTCCTAGACCTTCTCATGGCCCTGTCTTTATCTCCCGGAACCCCAGTTATTTGTAGTAGAGGATCAACAGTGGCTGAGCTTCCAACGCAGGTAGGAGGATTTTCCCCTCCCCTCATGTGCCAATCTCCCAATAACAGAATAACACAATCGGAAGGGATCTTGGAGATCTTCTAGTCCATCCCCCTGTTTCAAGCAGGAGACCCTATAGCCTTTCAGACAAGTGGGTGTCCAGTCTCTCCTTAGAAACCTCCAGCCCATAACTTCTGAAAGCAAACTGTTCCATTAGCTAGGAAATTTCTCCTTAATTCCAAGTTGCCTTTCTCCACAATTAGTTAACATCCATTGTTTCTCCTGCCTTCTGGTGCTTTTGAAAATAAGTTGAGCCCCCTCTTGTTTGTGGAAACCCCTCAAATATTGAAACACTGCTATTGTGTCTCCCCTGGTCCTTCTTTTCTCTAGACTGGCCACATCCAGTTCCTGCAACTGTTTTTTGTGTCATTTAGTTTCAAAGCCTTTGATCCTTGGTTGGTCTTTACACTTTTCCCAAAGTCTCCACATTTCTTTTTGTAATGTGGTGACCAAAACTGAACTCTGTATTCCAGGTGTGGTCTTTACTCTGGTTGTTGTTTTTTTGTGAAAGTTTTATTTGGATTTTCACAAAACATAATACAAATAAAATATCTTTTTTGAGAGCAGCATGATTCCAGGTTATCACATCTCCATACAGACATAATCTCAGTTACATATTAATCTTTATATTCTATTTCATATCTTGACACTATTTTATCATTTTCTCAATAATTTTTCCCTTCCCTTACTTTCCTCAACCTTATTTCTGATTATCTCATTGCTTTCTAATTCAATTACATAGCTTTTTCTAAATTTCTATATCTTTCTAATCATTATATTTGTACTTGTCAGCCTTCAAGATTTTCTCCCTTTGCTTTGCATCTTTCGGCTGTCATAAGTAACAGGGGGAGGAGGGGGGAAAATTATGGGAAGTGAGCTGGAGGTGTTACAAACAGAATTGTATAAATTGTGGGGGGGAATACATTCTTGCTTAGGTTTCTATTCCTTGCTCTCTCTTCTATGCTATGCGCAGCTGCAAACCTTTATCAAAGTATGCCAAGGTCAATGGACAGAAGCCTCATCACCACCTGGAGATGTCCACATGATGATATTCACTACTTTTAATTGGAAGAACCATTTGAACTATTGGGGGTGGGAACATTGCCATTACTTTGTATATGTGATTTACGCACCCATTTTCTCAGATTCAGAATTTTTTTGTTGCTACCACTTGATTTCCAGTAAAAGATATCTTTTCTCTAATTAAAAGAGTCTAAGTATTTCTTTCTTGGATTTTGAATGGAGCACTGGCTGACAGTACTTTTTTCTGTCCTGCTTACAACTTCATACATTCTTTTTCCAGGGGAAAAAAACCAAAAACAATTCCCTCCCCTTCCAGGCATTAAAAAGCAAGGTTTCCCCTGTGATTACCAAATAGAGTTTATCACCTTTATATCTTATAGTTGTTATCCATTCAAATCTCATTTAACGTTTAATTTATACATTATGCAATTATAATTATATACTCTGCATTTTTTTAAAGTGGTGAACATGAAAGCCCAAAGTAAAAAGTAAAGTCCAAGCTTGGCTTTTGTAGAGAGCACAGCTGCTGCCCAGATGAAGTTGGAGACACTGACATAGACTTGGAGAGTTTTATATAAACATATATTTAACATGGAAATTTACAGCAGTCTTTGTCACCATCCACAAAAGGAAGAACGTAAGATAGTCAGGAAAACAGAAAAAACATCCTGAGGTAAATCTAAAGCATCATGCAGAACAAAGAGAGGGGAAAAAGGCGGGGGAAAAAGAGAAACGCCCCCTTTCAGCAGCCAATCGTAGCATAGATTGCATCCTGCATGAGTCAGCACCCTCTAACTAATCAGTTACGATTGTGTTCCGGCCTATTGTAGACTTTACTGTTCCAGTTACTAAATTGTCCTACATGGTCTTTGCCCTACTTGGAAGCTGTGGAGGTTTTTCATTAAGAAGAAGACTCGCATGTAATTCATTGAAGTGTTCATTGTTAAGAATATTCATGGAATATGTTGTCCTTTCCCCCCCTGTCTCTGTGTCAGGATTTGGTATCATTTGAGGATGTAGCTGTGTTTTTCTCCGTGGAGGAGTGGGCTCTGCTGGATTCTGAGCAAAAAGCCCTGTACCAAGAGGTCATGCTGGAAAACAAGAGGAACGTGGCCTCATTAGGTAAGGGATTTAAATTTAGTAGCCAAAGGTCAAATGTTCAATCATCTTAATAGCAAGCATAGCATCATGTTTAGAACAAATGGGAGTTTAGAAGAAGTTTGATACCCTTCAAATAGAGCAATTGTGCTTGATTGCTTTCGCACTAAAGGTTGTGCTAACTTTTCTTTTTTTATTGTTGCAACCAGGTGACAGATGGGAGATGGAGGTTTCTGGCCAAGAGGCAGCAGCACCTTTGCCAAAAGACAAAAAGGAAGTTGCAGAAAAGATGTATGGAAAGCAAAGTTTGAAGCAAAACCAGCTAACAGGGGAGTTGGAGAATTGCTCTGGTTTACCTTGTCCAGATACCAATGTCTTATTGGACACCGATGATTGCCATGAAAAACAAGTGTGTTCAAGGTGTGGAAAAAGACTCTGTGATGAATCTGGATTATGTGACTGTGGTGAAAGCCCTGCTGGAGAGAAACAAGATGAAAGCAGGCAACACCCCAGAAGGAGCCTTCCTCCTCCTTTACATGAAAGAATAGAAGGAGGGAAACCATACAAATGTACAGAGTGTGCAGAAAGCTTCAGTACAAGCCGCTCTCTTGCTTCACATAAAAAGATTCACAAAGCAGGGGAGCCACACAAATGTCTAGATTGTGGAAGGACCTTCAGACAGAAAAAGCACCTTAATTCACACAGGAGGGTCCACAAAGAGAAGCAGCAGCATCAATGCATCCCCTGTGGAAAGTCCTTTGGAAGCAGCACCTCCCTTACTTCCCACCAAAGCGTCCACATAGAGAAGTTGCATCAACACAGGGAGGGTAGAATGAGGTTTACTCAGAGCAAGGAACCGAATTCCTGGAAAAAAATCCCCACTGGGAAGAAATCATATAAATGCCTAGAATGTGGGAAGAACTTCCGCTCTGCAAGTGACCTCACTTGCCATAATAGGATCCATACAGGGGAAAGGCCGTATCATTGCACGGTGTGTGGAAAGAGCTTTGCAAAAAAAAGCAATTTCAATTTACATAAGAGGATCCACACAGGAGAGAAGCCGTATAAATGCACAGAGTGTGGAAAATGCTTCAGTGCCCGATGTAATCTTACTTCCCATAAGAGGATCCATACAGGGGAGAAACCCTATGAATGCCTGGAATGTGGAAAAAGCTTTAGCCAACGCTGCACTCTAACCTTACATAATAGAATGCATAAAGGGGAGAAACCTTATCAATGCCTGAACTGTGGAAAAAGGTTCAGTCAAAAAGTTAATCTTAAGTCACACGAGATGATCCACACGGGAGAAAAACCGTATCAATGCACCAATTGTGGGAAGAGCTTCAGTAATCCATATAATCTTACTGTCCATAAAAGGTCCCACACAGGTGAAAAGCCTTATAAGTGCCCTGAATGTGACAAATGCTTCACTGATTCGGGGAATCTCTCTCGTCACAAAAGGCTCCACACTGGAGAGAAACCATATGAATGTCACACATGTGGAAAGAGCTTCAGTGCAAAAAATGTCTATGTCATACATAGCAGGACCCACACTGGAGAGAAACCTTATCAGTGCCAGGAGTGTGGAAAACTCTTCAGTCATTCTGGAGCACTGACGATCCATAAAAGGATTCACACAGGGGAGAAACCCTATAAGTGCCAGGAGTGTGGCATGAGTTTCAGTAGAAGTGGTGTCCTTGATATCCACAAGAGGATTCACACAGGGGAGAAACCATATACATGTCATGAGTGCAGAAAAAGCTTTAATCAAAATAAGTCACTCATTTTCCATAGAAGGCTTCACTCAGGGGAGAAACCCTATAAATGCCTGGAGTGTGGAAAATGTTTTCGTGTGAGTGGCCAGCTTACCTCCCACAATAGGATCCACACAGGGGAGAAACCCTATAAATGCTTAGAGTGTGGAAAATGTTATAATGATAGTGCCAGTCTTACCTACCACAATAGGATCCACACTGGGGAGAAACCGTATCAATGCACCGAGTGTGGGAAGCGTTTCAGTCAAGCAAGTTATCTTACTATCCATAAAAGGACCCACACAGGTGAAAAGCCTTACAAATGTCCTGAATGTGACAAACACTTCACTAATTTAGCGTCTCTCTCTCGTCACAAGAGGATCCACACTGGGGAGAAACCCTATAAGTGCCAGGAGTGTGGCATGAGTTTCAGTAGAAGTAGTGTCCTTGGTAACCATAAGAGGATTCACACAGGGGAGAAACCCTATAAGTGCATGGAGTGTGGCATGAATTTCAGGACAAGTTATTACCTTGGTATCCACAGGAGGATCCACACAGGGGAGGAACTGTATACATGTCACGAGTGCGGAAAAAGCTTTAAACATAATGATTCACTCAGGATCCATAGAAGGCTTCACTCAGGGGAGAAACCCTATAAATGCCTGGAG